AAATAACTATGTGTGCAACCAGTTATTCATAACACCCACGTGTCCCACTATCATTGATGCACTGGCATACTATAATAACTAGACAGTGTTTCCTTTAATAATTTTTTGTCTCATATGCTCGACAGGCTCACCGCAGCTATAGTTTCTGTCTTTTTCTTATTCGACAATTTAAAAGTAAAAAAGAGAGTTAGAATTTAAGTATTTTGTGCATTTGTGAAATTTTGAATGACTGTGTGTCATGAGACATAAATATTAAACTATTTTTTATTCTTTGTTTCTTTGCAATGAGATATACAGATTTAATCAATACCGGGACATGAGCTGATTTTTTTTTTCAGTTTAAATGTGTAATTAAGGTATTTTTATGAATTTTAAATTATTATGATCTATTAAACTAAAGTAAACCTTTTCCAGTGGCGTATATTCCATATAGGAAAAAGGCTGTAGCCTACACATTATTTTCTCAAGAATAAAAATTTGGTTGAATGAAGGAGCGGGGAGTTGAAAATAAATCGTACCTATTAATTATTGTGTTGGGGGGGAAGCATTCTTAATTATCCACACTTTTATACCTATTTGATTATGTTTACAGTTTTGCTTTATAATGAAGGACAAAACTATTCCCTTAGCTTGACATTTTTTAAGCCAAACTTCAAGTGTTATTAATATCAAGTCTGTATCAGAAAATTTAATCAAAAGCAAAATGATCCCATAATATGTACAGGAAACGAAACTGATAACTTGCATTATGTTTGTTAGTCAACATTTTGATCGAATTTTGATTATTTAGTAAGGAAGTTTCCATATTTTCTAAGCAGATCTCGAGTCTAAGGATAAGGACTCAGTTTTTGTTAAGTTATCTTCACTCTAAAAAAAGTTTTACTTGTTGTTTTTAAAATAAGATATTAGATTGAGAAAAACTAGTAATTATTAGTAATCCATTTAGTCAGAATAGCAAGTAAATGACTATCATGGTTAGTAATTGTAAACATAATTAGTAATAAGGATGAATTCATTTACTTATAAAATGATTTACTAAGTATCAATAGAGTTACTTAAATTATAGGAATTGTATTACTTTAAGTTAGTAAATGAACTACTCATTTTTGTTAAATTATTATTACTTAATTCAGAGATAATATGCTTTCTATTTACTAAATTTTATGAATTATTACTAAGTAAATGTAATTCTGAAATTAATTAAAATCTAGAATATTATTACTTAAAAGAATACTAAGTAAATGAAATACTTATCATATTTACTAAAATCGACATTATTTACTAGAAACACTGCAAGGTACCCACCCTCTGACATGTGAGTACTACTTACAGATTTCTTTATCAGAGTTCCCTAATTGGGCCCTCTGAATGGTTAAATAGAAGAAATCTACTTATGATGGAAACAATTATACTTTCCATTTCTTTTGCCAATTTCTTTGTAACTGTTTTATTATATATAACAATAAAACATTTGATTCCAACTTCGAAAGCCTTAAAAATTGAATAAGTTGTATTTTTTAAGGACCATTTTAAAAATGGTTAAACATTTCAAGTACTTAATATCGCATTTTTATTAGTGTGACTTTTTTTTTCACATGAAGGTATATTTAGATGAAAGATAACTCCTCCTCACAGACAATTAGTGATAAGACTACCATATTTAAGTAATTACTGATCTGAATTCTCCTTGATTTAGTAAATAAATTTTTGTTTTAAGTAAATCAATTAAATACAATTCAAACATGCAAGATGTGTTTGTGAAACACCTATATATGCCACTGTATGGCAACATAGCAAAGGTTAAACTTTTCTTAAATGCAAATTTAATTATTGGGATTTCTTGATATCTCCAAGGTCAAAAGGTCAAGGTTATTGGTATCTAATGAAAGGTCTTGCTACAAAAAAATACATATGTGAAATATGGAAACACTTGCCTCAACCCTTCAGAAGTTATGGTCAAGGTTACCAATTTTGAAATGTAGGTCAAACTCCAAGGTCAAGGACAAAGGGACAGAGTTGGTGGTACCCAAAGAAAGGTCTTGTCACAAGGATGAACTATGTTAAGTATGAATGCACTAACCCTAATCCTTTTAAAGTTACAGTCAAGGTTTGCTTTTTAAAAGTGGGTCAAACTCCAAGGTCAAAGTCAAAGTTCTTGGTATCCTATAAATGGTCTTCTCAAAATGATTACATATATGTAAGTATGAAAGCACTTTTCCCTACCGTTAAAAAGTTATGGCCAAGGTTAAAGTTTTTTCACAAGGATGGAAATGTCCAGGGTCAAGGTCAAAATTTCATAGTTGTTGGTATTCAATGAAAGTTCTTTCAACAAAAAATATATATGTGAAGTATAAATGTCCTGGTATTTACTGTTAAAAAGATTTGGATAAAGAATAAGTTTGAATTTTTTGTGTATAAGGTCTTGTCACAAGGAATACACGTGTGAAATATGAAAGTTATAGCTCCGCTAAATCAAAAGTTATGGGCAAGATTACAGTTTCTGCGGATAAACAGAGAATCAGAGAGACAGCTAGATAGACAGACGGAAACGACAAAAACTATATACCCACGAAACTTCGTTTACGGGGGCATTAAAATATTAATTATATAGTAAATAGTGGTAAAATGTAAGTATTAAAGACCAAGTAAAGTTATTACTTATATACACAAATTTAAGTAAATATAAATTACTAAGTAAAACTTTTTAGTGTGTAAGTAAAACAATTTTTTAAAATACAAAAATCAAGTAAAACATTTGAATCTAGTAATTGACATATATTTCAGTAATTGATTTTAAATTTTAAGTAAATGCTTAGTAATTATCTATTACTTATGTTTGTTGTTTCAAGTAAAAAATGACTACTAAGTAAAACTTTTTTAAGAGTGTTCACATCACGATATAAACTATAATATATGTACAATATTATTTTCACTGGTCAAATTAAAATTGCAGATGTCTGAGTTTGCAAAAGTTGTCCCTTAGAACCCCCCCCCCAATATCTATCGAGAGGAAGCTCCTTGTTTACCCACACTTTGCAGCTCTGGAATTAAATACCGTGACTTCACCACTGTTCACACAAGCCTACACATCAGCAGAAAGGAATATACGCCACTGTTTTCTAAATGTCAGATTAAATACATCTGTACATGAAATATATAGTATTATAAAAGGGTTTATATTGTACAGGACGACAATAATGTAATTCTGCTTCTATCAAAGCTTATAAAAAGTTCTTCCTTAGGAAATATTAACTATAGATATTAAAAAAAAGGTCTTTTTTGTCATTCAGATTGCTACAAAATTTTCTGACATCAAAATTGTAGCTCATATTGCTTTAAAATATTATATGGTATTCTGGCATCTTTCTATTTTCCCTTGTATAAGGTACTTACGTTGACAGTTATAACCTCCATATCCGGCACAACATGTCCGTCTATAGGACACGCGATATCGCCATAACGTAGCATAGTGAGTACTGTAAAAAACGTAAGAAACCATTTCAAGATGAAAAGTATGCCGTTTAAAAGAAAGAAACCCGACTTCACCTCAAAGTACTAAGAGCTTGGTGAAAATTAAAGGCTGTTAGATTAAATTTTTAATCGCGATTTAGTTTTGTTTGACCCTTCCATCTTCCATTCACTGAGCAATTAAAACCATCTAACGAATAAATTATCGGAACAGAAATGACATTCATCTTGAAGTAATAACGATAAGAAAACAAGATGAGTTTGTGAAACACTGATGCCCCCGTATGGCAACATCAAGCGAAGGTTAACCTTTCTCAAATGCAGATCAAATACGCTGGTACCTAAAGTAAGGCCTTTTCACAAGAAATACAAATGTTAACAAGATGTGTTTGTGAAACACTGATGCCCCCGTATGGTAACATAGCAAAAATGAAAGTTTTCTTTAATGCAATGTTCTTGTTATCAAATGAAAGGTCCTGTCACAAGAATTAAATATGTTAAGTATGAAAGCACTAGCCATAATACTTTAAAAGTGATGGTCAAGGTTTTTGTTTTTTTAAAAGTAGGTCAAACTCAAAGGTCAAGGTCAAAGGGTCTGAATTCTTGGTATTCAATGAAGGGACTTCTCACAAAGATTACATATGTGAAGAATGAAAGCCCTATCCCTTACCGTTCAAAAGTTATGGCCAAGGTTAAATTTTTTCACAAGTATGGAAATCTACAAGGTCAAGATCAAAGGGTCAAGGTTGTTGTTATCCAATGAAAGGTCTTTTAACAAAAAATATACATGTAAAGTATAAATGTCCTGATATCTACGGTTCAAAATAAAATAAAAGTTTAAACTTTTCATGTAAAAGTGAGTCAAATTCCAAGGTCAAAATGTCAAATTTGGTGGGACCCAAAGAAAGGTCTTCTCACAAGGAATACATATATGTGAAATATGAAAGTAATACCTCCACTAAATCAAAAGTTATGGGCAAGGTTAAAGTTTTTGTGCACAGACAGACAGACGGACGGACTGACACGACAAAAACTATATTCCTTTATATTCTATATAAAAGAAACTGACAAATGAAAATGATTATCATAGTTATTTTTAAATCTTTCGTAAAATATGTAATGCCAATTTATAAAATAATATAAATGATTATATCAGTGATAATATTAAATATATATATATTGAAAAACAATAACCAGTTTCATTCTATTGATTTTTTCTTGTATTTAAAAATCTCACCATTTTCCCCAAATGCGACTTGTGCACTCTACGACCTCGTAAGGTTCTACGTTTTTAATTACTTTCGTACAAGGGCTAGCATCAATTCCAGTTCCAGTGATCCTTAAATTAGTGTTTTAATAAATATAAATTCTTAGAGCAATATGAGCTGCATTTTTGAAAATTTTATTTTACTGTTGTAATTTTGGTAAATTTGTATGTAACTTAAATCTTTATGATCTATTTGACTAAAATAAAGCAGAAGAAAGACTTCTATGTACAATCCAATATGCAGTTTTATATAAGACATCATCATTGTACAGGACGACAATAATGTAATTTTGATTCAATCAAAGCGTATTAATAGTTCTTCCATCGGAAAAATGAACAATGAAAGTTTATTAACGTTAGTTTATTCTGTCATTGTGGTATCTTTTTGTAATATTGCAACAAAAAATTCCAACATCAAAGTTACAGCTCATATTGCCTTAAAAAGAAACTGAAATATGAGGACAATTTTATTTAGATGTATATATTGTCATTATTATTTTTTTTTTATTTGAAATGTTTACTGAAGTTAGTCAAAAAATTATTTTATTTTTGATTTGAAATATTTCATTTTTTTTTTAGCTTACGTGTACTATAGCAATATGGACAGAAGAGAGAGAAAAAGAGAGAAAGAGAGAAAGGTATAGAATTACTTTTAGAACGGTTGATTATTTTCTTTCCAAAAAAATAACAAGATAGCTCTAGTGTTACTTACAAAAGGAGGAACCAAATGCAGCTGGTGTACATAATGATCAACATAGAAACTCAGTTTTAGGACGCTGTGAATTCTCTGTAACTGCAGAGGTCTTTTATTGCAACAGGATGCGGAAGTAAAGCCTTAACCACCGATTGACTGATACGTATTTACAAGGCTAGTGATCGTACTGTATTTAAATTTACATATTGAGTCAAAACCATGTCTTTCTCTTAAGGGGGGACCTATGTCCGAAAAGTCTTTGTGTGAAATTTTCAAAACTTTGACATATCTTTCCTGACCACTTGCTTTTAATTTTTAGGCATTAAAAACAATACCTTTATGTGCTTATTTTTGCACAGGAGCACGTGCAAAAACAGTGTGAAACGCTAAAAATAGATTATCTTCAGACATTATTGTTTTACTCCAAATATGCACTAAAAAGAACCAAAAATGTCAAATCACAATCGAAATCAACATGTATTTAATTTATATGACTTGTATCTTTAAAATGAAGGCAAATTCATTGTAATTTATCTCGCATGAAAAATTATAAAGGAGCACAATGTAAGTATCACCCCGTTTTTCTTGTCGTATTTTTTACAATTCCGACATGCGTAACAGGTAATATCTTAAAAAGTCTTTGTGTGAAAATGTTGTAATTAATTTTTTTTTAAAGAAGTCACCCCTCTCTTTATTTTAACAAAGAAAAAGGTATACCTTTATGATATAATAAACGAGAAATATGACGTTTTCTTTTATTTCCATTCTCTTCTGTCATAAATATTGACCTTTCTGCACTATAAAAAGGTAAGTTAGCACTGACAAACATCTGAATATAAATCTATTTTGCAAAAAACGAGAATTTTGTTTTGATAAGAAATAATTTAAACAGATAATCTCTTTTCTTCTTCATTCTAATCATTCTGCCCCACCCTTTCCCCGTCAACAACCAACACCCAATAGAACCTAGGAATGACTTTATACAATAGACTATAAATCAATAAAATATAGGTACAAGTACATTTCTTAATTTTTTTTTCAGTTTCATCCAGAAAGTATAATTAATGGTAATCATAAAATTAAACATATTTCCCTGATTAAAGCCGCTGTCTTTGTTGAATTTCATCTTATAATTTTTGCATTTTTATATCAGCATATTATGGAGGTATTTCTTCACAACTGAAATTGCTATGAATTATCAACCAAAGGAAGAGAATTCTAATATTAACAAACTCCAAAAATCAAATAAAACTGTAATAAATGATGAAAAAAAAAATTCTTATTGTAAACTGTGTACGTTATTAATTGATAACAATGTTATGCCTATAATCACAGTTGCAAAAGTCAGCGGGAAAAATCAAACGTCGCTATTGTGACGTCACATAACGCTGCTTTGACGTAGAACGACATAGGTCCCCCCTTAATAAAAAAAAAATAATGACAATGCATACATCTAAATAACATCGTCCTTATACGGTATAAATCTCAGTTGATTCGATACGCAAGGGTATGTTCTACGTATGTACAATTTCTACAACGAGTTGATGAAACAAGAATATCAGTAGTCACGTTTAAAGTCGTCATTTCACAAGTTCTAAGGTCGATATAATGACCTTGTCAGTAAGAACAATTTATCATTGAGTTAAATGCTGACTGACATTTTTCATATTTATCGGTAGTCTATTATTTAAACACAGAATTGACGACGGATTTTTCGTTATTTTCCGATCATGACAAGAAGCACACGACGGTAGATGCTCACTCCTCCATGGCACCTGATCCCACCTCTGATGTTTTGTAGGTTTGTGTTTGCTCTGTTTCTATTTTGTATTGCTTAATGGACTTTCTACAATTTCATCTATTGATGATTCTGAAATACTACCACAAATGTAATATAATTGTAATGACACAATATGCAACATCAAAATCGACGAACATGAAGTACTGTAAAATCACATATTTTCGTGAGATCAGATTTTTGTGGTTTGAGGGAAAAAATGTTTGTTCGTGGGGATTTTATTTCGTGGATGAAGAACTTTTTAGTGGTTGTGTATATAAAAAATTACATTTCGTGGTGGGCAAATGAACAGATGTATATACCACTCATGGTTGTATCAATATTTAATGAATGATGGAAGATTCGTTAAACTGATCATTTTTAATTTGTCATTAAATTCAGTTCTATCAATGTTTTAATGAACGAATCCGTGCATTAAACCTTCATTTAATTCCTCAATTTTAATGAAGGTACATGTAAGGGGGCTTCATTAAGTGGTCATTAAGTATGGTGGCCTACATTATGTTTTGCCCGCTTTGAACAGTAATTAATCTTAGTGCCCAGAAAGCCCTGAGAGTTGAAACCTTTCATTCCCGAGAATGTGAATTTAACTTGAACATATTTTCTCTTTTGTTCAACAAAAAAGATTTATAAGAAAACATTCTGGACTGTTGGTGAGCTATCTGCTTGAAGTAATGTTTATTTTAAATGTTAATTCCAGGGTGTCTTATGTAACAAATATGGAGGAAATTATGAAAATAGAAGCTCACGACCAAGAAATTCTTTGTGTCCAATACTCAAATCTAATTACAGGTGGGTGAGTTTGTTTTTTTTAGATCCTTGCATGGAAAAAGAAGTTATATTCTATAAATTTATTAATGACATGGATGTTAAATATTATAGACTTTTGCTTTCATACTAAAAAGAATTCCATTAAATAAATCAATTAGCAATATAAATAATAGTTTCTTTTAAAAAGGTAAAGATGATGAACAGTGTTATATAATTCTATATAAAACAACAACAAAAAACTTTACAAATAGATGAACAGGGCATAATTGTGATAAATCACAGACCCATGGAAATTCCAAAAGCGGAATCAGGTGACCAAGATAAGAAGGCATCCCCTGTAGACCGGTCACACCCGCTATATGCCCTTATAACTGATCAGATAGACGAAATATTCATTGTTTTAATGAAACAAAGGCCTAACAATACTTATAAGTATGAAAACTGTCACTCAGAAAGTCCATCAAAATAAGGAGGACTAGCTTTAAAGCTTTCAAAATTTTTATTTCATTTTTGAGCCTCACGTGAGGCAAACAAGTACAGACAACATATAAATCTTAAAATTAATAATGAATGAACATAGAGTTAGTATACAGTATTATTTTGAGCTCTCAAGAGTGATAAATGAAGGAATGACTCAAATATAATGTTTGTCTTAAATCCCCGAACTTCTGATCCATACATTAAATCTTGAACTACAATTGTATCAAACAATTTTACAGTAAAAAATTTTCCTGAAAATAAAATGCCATAATATTGAAACTTTCTACAGATGACAATTACCATCATTGTAAACGAGGAGGGTATTTTCACAATGTCTCTTTTTGAAAAAAAAATACAACATTGGCTTTTGGTGCAGTTTGGAGCATTCCTTGGCTTTGAAAGAGAGAAAAAGATATACATGTAGATCCCAGTATATATTACATTACACGTACTTTATAACTTTACTAAAATTTTTCTATTAAATTTTAGTTTTTATGTTTTAGGCCATACGCTAATTGCGTCGGACAGAAGGGGTTGTAAAGGAATATTTTTACATAAAATAATAGTTTTTCTTGATAAGGTCCCAAGATGATGGCGTCTGGTAGTAGAGATCGCCTCATTCACGTCTTTGGCGTGGATCAGAGTTACAAATGTATGCAAACCCTCGCTGACCATTCCAGCTCTGTTACTGCCATCAAATTCACGGAAAACGAAGAACAAATTAAGCTGCTTAGTTCCAGTACAGACAAATCTGTTCTCTTCCGAGATGCACACAAGGTATAATTCAATCAGCAATACATTAATTTTTTTATTGTATTAAAATATGCATTGAAGTTTGATGTTGGCTGAAGAAGCATAATTTGTTTGTTTGAATACCATTTAAACAAGCTGGTTTTCAAGCGTTTTATTTCTGTTGCAGACTCCAGAGTGTCAGTTTGAAATTTCTAAACATCAACATGTCGTAGGCACCAATACATTGTATGAAATAGATATCGAACCCACACAGAAACACATGGCAACCGCATGTCAAGACCGAAACATCAGGTAATCTGTGTTAACTTTTTAATAATTCCAGAATTTACAGGGCAGTTGAAGTTTGGGCTTCTTGTTCATTTAAAAGTAGACAAAACACCCCTTGATATACTTTAGGATCAGGTTCACTTTATCAATACTCTTGGAAACACACCTTTTTTGAACGAAACACTCACCTAATCACTATGAATACGAAAAACAAACATAAAGATTTGATCCTAGGTCTCGATTAAATGAAATATTGTGATCTAACTTACCTTTTTGCGTTACACATGAACGTTATATAAATTCTATAGTAATCTGAAATATGCTTTTTCTATTCTAAATTAATGTTCATAAAACAATAAAAAAAGAATAAGAGCAGAACAAACACGGACTTCCGAAACATCAGAGGTGGGATCAGGTGCCACGGAAGAGTAAGCATTCCCTGCTGACCGTTTACGCCCGCCGTGCTTCTTGTCATGATCAGAAAATAACGGAAAAATCTGTTGTCAATTTGGTGTATAAATAATGTATTAACAATAAGTACGAAAAAGTCAGTCAGCATTTGACTCAATGATAAATTGTATTTGCTGACGAGGTCATTGTATCGACCATAAAACTTAAAAAATAATGACTTTAAACGAGACTGCTGATATTCTTGTTTCATCAACTTGTTTGTCACTAATCTACCTAGTTATAGAAATTGTTCATAAGTAGAGCATGCTCTTGCGTATCGAATCAATTGAAATATATATACTCCGTATGCAGGTGATGGTATATTGCTGCATAAGCAAGGGAAAGTTAAAGTCATCACGTTTATCATAAAAGCTTTGTGTTTAGATTGCTATTATTGTCTTTTTCAAGTAAAATATCCAAGTATGAAACATATGTGTCAGACATTGTGGTATCTTTTATTTCAAGCTCACTAGGATATATCGTATCCACAAAGGAATGGAAATGACCATTATTATTTGACAATACGTCGTCGATATATCTAAATGTCGAGTTGAAAGTCACAACAAGTGTTTTATTCTTATCACGTATAAGATTTTGCATAAATTCTGCTTCATTTCAATACATAAAGGTCTGCTAATAACGGAGCGCAATTGGTACCCGTTGGAATTCCACTAGATTGTGGAGGACCTTGTCTCCAAAAACCACAAAGATATTGTCAATCATAAACTAAAGCAACTTTTCGATGGCAACTTCAGAATTCTTATTTGTGCAATCAGAATGTGTTTTAGCAAAATAATTTTGACAAATGACCAGGTAAGTAAATTTACGAAATTCATTTTTATTGAAAAAGCAGCTGTCGATGATATCAAAAAGCCTGGACTTAAATTATCATGGGGAAAAACTTTGTGTACAAAGTTGAAATGAAAAGTCATAAGTTTTTAAGCTGTTGATTTTGGTAAATTTCAAACTGTCCAAAAGTCATTTGGAATTTTTGAGTATCCACATTGATTCAAACCACTTCTTGAATATATTGTTGCACAGTTCACGACGTTTTCCCCTCACTACTGTCAATATCTTAGTAGGAGTAACAAAAGAGACTTGGTTGAACATTTACTGGAGCCCGCAATGTATCTTTATTTGTAATGATTCTTATGAAGTTTTGGAATCCAATATATCTGTGGAAGTTTAAAATACTGCTCATTGTACATTTTAAGTTTTAACTTCACAGTGCTTATAGTAAAACCCTTCTCCTAAGCACTTGATATTATATCTATAGTGTTCCTAGGGATCTGCCTCACTATTGATATGCTCTAACAGATTTATGAAATTGAACATTGTTCCTTATGTTAAACTTTTACATAACAGTGATCATTTCTTTGATGTAACAAATGGAATTAAGAGATACATATGACTGCCTGCAGAACATTTAATTTGACATCATACATCATTTTAGTTTATCTTAATGGATTGGATCTCTGACCCTCATTAAATATGTTTTCATTTAGTGCGAAATACTACAGAATTTTTTTTGAGGGATTAATATACATTATGTACGAGGTCACAAATTTTCCACAGAAAGATTCTTCATCAGCATGTACTTAAATACATTTTATTAGTACAATAATTTCAAGAAATCGCTGTGTTTTTCTACAAGAAGATTGATTAAAAATTGACATTTTCCGGAATTGTGACCCCACGGTCAATGCATTTACAGTGAATGTAAAATATGGTTAGAATATGTTTAGAAACCAGTAAATTGAATTGTACCTGGCCACCACGAAGTCACAATGTTTAGTTGGTATGGCGATATCATTCGAATATTTTGTTTATAACAAAAAAAAAAGAATTCATAAATATCAAATACGTAATCTTAACAATGTACAATTCAATATAATCATTTTCATTCAATAATAAAAGTTTCTGCATTATATATGGATAAATGTACCTTTTATAGAGTATACAACATTGAGACAGGGAAGCAAACGCAGTGTTACAGAGGAGCAGAGGGAACTAAAGGGGTCTACTAAAGCTTCATTTAGACCCTTCCGGTCAGTACGCGTTCACTAGTTGTTCGGACAAAAGTCTGTGTCTACTGGACTTCAAGTCGGGGGAAATTCTGGCCACCATGATCGGCCATTCGGAGCAGATCAATGGCGTGAAGTTCATGCCGGACCTGAAGCGTCTGGTGTCTGTGTCCAGCGACGGCTGTATCTTTGTCTGGAGGCTGCCTCCCGAACTGACCGAGTCCATGCGAGGCCTCCTGGAGGAGATGGGGAGACTTCCGTTTGAGGCCATCAACGGGGAAATCAACAGGTTAGAGAATCAATCAAAGTTATACAGAGGAATAGGTAGAATTTTTCATTGACAACATACTTTGATTTACTAGTATTAATAATTTTTGCTAGTCAGCTAATGCAGAGAAATGCGTAAAGTTTTGAGAGCGAATGAGGGTTTCATTCACACATCTCGTTTTCTGTGTTTCGCCTATTTGATGATATTGAACATTGTACAATTTTCTTCGATTGAACTATTCTTAGCTTTCTCTGTCTTATATACTTAAAATCATATTATAAAACATATAATGAACAAAGCTGAGGTTAAATATTAGGAACCACGGATCAATCTGGAGTAAGACTTACCGGATTGCTGATCCCGCCCCTATCTCACTAGAAAAAGCTCTGGAGGAAGCTGTTAGGAGCCCCGGTGAACGGGTAGCTAAACCTAAGATCAAGGAGGAACTAGAGCCACAGGTACATAAAGAGTCACCTAGTATCCAGACAGAGGTACAGACCGACAGAAAGGATGAACTGTCTGACTTCAACAGCACCATAACCGGACTACCCGACTGGATACAGGCGAAGGTGAGAAAGGGATAACAAGGCAGGAAAACTTTAGACAAGATGGGTCAACGTGATCAAGATTATAATGGTGATGGCTTATATGGGTCAACGTGATCAAGATTATAATGGTGATGGCTTATATGGGTCATTATCATATTGTTACAAATTTATATTTTACCTTTGAAGTAAAGTTTTGTAACTCTATATCCTGATAATTGTTTAATGATCTAATTTTACAGTAGTGAATTGCTGTGTTAATACATTGCTTAATGTTTCTTTGTTAATTTGTATAACTTCCCAACTTCTATTTATTCACAGTGGGGTGCCGTCTGGTAGGGGGAGTTTCTTAGCCAGCATCTCTATTAATTCGCAGTATATAACTGTCATTGAGGGGATGACCAGTATAAATAGGGTTCAATTGGTTAATTGCTCTGTAGACTTGTTGATTATTTTGAAGATGTCGGAGGCTCAGTTAAGACGGGCTAGAGAGGATTTGGTAATTAAACATTTATTATAGTTTGGTTAGGATTTACCAAGTGACACCTGATATTTCACCGAGATCTTTGGTAAAATTATTACACACCAAGGGCTTTCGGAGAAATTATTGGTGATAGCCTAAATTATTAAACGGCTATTACTTCTCTTATTCCTGGAAATTAATACCAGCACCAATTTTACACCGAAATTTACCAAGGTGTTGTGTATTGGTGACTTGGTTAATCTTGGTAAACACCGAGTTGCACCGAAATATTTACCAAGGTGTAGCTCTGGTGGTTGGTTAAAATATTAGGGATTTGTAATAAATATAAAGGTATTTATTGGTACATATAGTTTTAATAGGGAATTATTAAGTAAGCTAGGAGAATAAAAGAAGTTTGGTTGATTTATTTTTATAATTTTACATGACTTTCATTTTCTTTAAACTGTAAATAAATAGTAGAATAGAATTGGTTTTATTACTTAAAAAAGGTAAAGGTTTAATACAAGGTTTACTTTAACAAATTGATACATTGGGATTTATATTTTGGAATTTACTAGTGCGGTGGATTATAGTGTTACAGTGTGTGATTCAATATGGAGTATTAAATAATTTTCACAATAAAAACCAACGTTCCCTATAAAAATTGTGTTGACGAGTTCGCCTCGCGTCACAATATCAATAAAGAGATAAATAACCAATAAAAGTTAGATATCTTGGATCTTAGATATTTTGCTGTTTATAATTAATCAAATGAAGATTCTAAATGTAGTAAGCCTTTTGGGTCTAAGTGAATGTTTTGCAAATGTTATATGGGGAATAGTCGGTTGAGGAGAAAATAAACGAATATTAACACAGTAAACAAGATTTCGACCATGCAGGGGCTCTTTCATAGAAAGGATTATCACTTTAGATGAGAACTAAGGATTGTACTTTTTGAAAAATAAATAAGTGTTTCTTAGGGTAAACTTTATCGGGAAGGAAATGACCTTTGTTACCTATAATGACTGGCCATTTGTTTCCAGATGGGCAGGGATATCTCTAGTTCTCGGGAATCTGACCACCAACCACAGCCGCCTTCTGGTCGTTGGGCGGTAAATAATGACAGTTTAAAGCCATGGATAAGTGGAAGAAAGGGTCCGTGTGTGCAGGGCGAGCCTGTGGATTATGACAGTGAGTAGTAACATGTAGATATCTATAAAGTAATCTATCTAAATTACCGTTTCAGATTGTGATTCATAGACATACATTCAATGTACTTTGTTTTTGAAAATATAAATTTTAATTTTGCTGAGGATTATTCAAATTACATGGGAACATGTTACCTGTGAAAATCTTGTTGCCTAAATGTTCCAAAGTACTGATACTGAATAGTATTGTTGCCAGAGCCGTCCGGCGAGGAAACCTTGTCTGTGGAAGATGTTGAGGATAACGTGGACCAAGAGGAGAATCCAGAATACTCCGCCGTTTCCGGGACTGACCCCTCAGTCGAACCGATAGACACAGTGAGTGATGAATGGATTGAATGCTGTGCTTTACATCCAAACCAAATATTTCAGTAATTGTAGAAAAGTGCCAAATTTAGAGTACTATTATGAGATATTATCAAGCCAATTGATTAGGAATTAGGTTCATCATTCTGCAAACATTTACAAGGGTATTTGTTATGAAATACATCTCTTCACTTGTTTTGTTTGTTGACCATTTTGGCGAATGAACAGTCGTTATCTATAATGAAGTCTTTTAAATGGATTAAAAATTAAATCAAAGTCGGCAAGAGTTGTAAACAAAACCGTCTGCGCAAAAATACAGCGTCCTAACAACTGAACAGGCAAAATGTTCTTATTTCAATCTGACACGGAAGAAATTGATCAAGTATTGTTAAAAGAAAATGAAAGCCATTGAAGAAATATACACAACACTGATGTGGATTTCTTCCAATTTTCAAAAAAAAGACATTGTCCAAAAATCCAGTTTGGATCAATTTTGAAACGTTATGATATATTTATAAAGTATTAAATAACAAAGAAACAAATTTGTGACGAACGTCCTATAGATTTAGGAGACAAATAATGGCACAATTGGAACTTGTGTCCAGTCCCTTTGACATGTTGTCAATGAATATGATCAAAACAAACAAACAAGACACAATTAAGTAGCGCTCTGACTAAATCGAGAGAGGGGGTAGAGAGAGAGAAACAATACCCAAATATATATGCTGAAACTGAACATTTATAAAATCAGACAATATTACTAGTCCAATCCTTTATTGCCAATGTCTAAGGTCTAGGTTTCCCCGTCCTCTGTCTGTCTAACTGGCTGTTAGTCTGTCCCACTTGGCTTTCTGTGTTTTTAACACTTATAGTTACTAAGCTGACGTCCATTTTGAGAGTGTAACACGATGAGTTGAGTTACAGATCAGATTTGCGTTTCTTTCTGCTTCCATAACTTTTTACAGAATTATGACCATTTTGATTTTTGAGAGTAACCAGATTATACTTGTTGGTAGAAGACAAGTATATTACAGTACTCAGTTTGTTAAAGTTTACTTTTATAACATAAAAAGACTCTTTGTAGGAGATGGAAGAGGGAAAGACGGAAAATGAAGAAAGTCTGACTTCCATAAATCCGCGAGTGAGCCTCTCCTCCAAGTATTGGTCTAAGTCACAACTAGAAAACATCAGGTTAGTGATTCTGACTGGATTAATAAAATATATATACTCTAGATTTCAGTCTCAGGTCCAGTAGAGGAGCATCAGTTTAATGGTTGAAAATGGTGCACATAAATTGAAACGAAGGCTCTTGAATATTTTGAATATTTGAATATCAAAAAGAAATGTAGCCAGAAAAATGTATTTTTTTTTTTGGTCATTCAACATGTTCAAGTGAAAAAAAAATGCTGATTTTTAAAAAAAATTATAAATACCAATAAAATTCTATTGTTTGATAATATAAATTCAAAAGGCATTATCTATTTCTTACATGCAGTGGACTTTTTTTTCATTCTAGTAAAATGACAATGCAGATCTGTATGCAGCAGCAAGACTTGCTTAATGTGAGTTTACAATCATTTCTAACTAGTCTAATGGTAGCCCATGGTCAGATTTAAATAGTACTTGTGCAAAGGTAGGTAGTATATGATAAAATGTAACTTGTTGGATGGTATTTAGTGGTAAATTTTGATTTTCTGATACCATTCGATGGTCAGATTTTACAAATTTGAATTGCCTTTATAATTACATTTGTCCTATATATTTACTAGTAATAAGTGTAGCATATAAGTTCACGTGGTCAGTTTTTAGTTGGGTACTTTTTATAAAACACATCTTTTACTACCATGCCCCGTTCTGAGGTCATGAGGTATATTTTTACAGTAGAGACTTATTAGTATATGATTAAATGTTAATTTTAGTAGAATTTTTACCGACCTTGAGAGTCAAACATGTCACAATAGACTTGAACTGTTGATAATAGTTTTCTTTAAATATCGGAATATTGTATTTTGATCCATAACCTTAACATTTAAAAAAAACATTCCATCAAAATATTAGGTCTATTTATTTTTACATATCAAATTAATAATAAGAAAGTTTTCACTGGTTTTATGTTTGATAAATCTTAGATCAAACAAGACAAAATGCAAGAAAACCTCACCCAGGAAAGTGAAGAAACCAAAGAGTCATCATCTGGAACGAAGGAGAAGGAAATCATGCTTGACCTGCCATGCATCTTTCCTCGGGAGATTTCCTTAACTTCAGGACAACAACCAAACGTAGCTTCAGAGGAAGACTTTGATGATACCTCAAAAGAAAAGAAAGATGACACTCTTACACAAGGTATCCAAGAAAGAGATGAAATTTCTTTAAGGCGGGAAATGTTGAATACACTTAAGGAATTACTGGAAGCAACAAGACAGAATGGACGTCTGTTGATGACGTTAGACTCCAGTATTAAGAAGAATACAATGGTACTACAAAACTTAGCTGACTTACAAAGGGAAAAACTCAGGGAGGAGGAGAGTTGTTAAAAGACTACCCTCTCCAAGGTGAACATGCTGATGAAATTTAAAGGACACATATTCAAAAGCAGAACAATCATCCCTTTTATTACAGAAGATCAATTTAATTTGTACCTAAGAAATGAGTATTTATCTCCATATTTTCTAAATGTAGACTGTATATTTATTTTAACGCATTGTTAGGAGTTTATATATCATATTGATATATTTTGATATATGAATAGCATGTTTACTACTTAGTACTTACTTCTTAACAATGCAATGCTCTTAACCATAAGTATCAACCTACATCGTAAAAAGCATTGTATTTATAGCAAAAGATTGTGATTCCTACATGTAATAAAAGTTTTCATTTGTTTATAGTTTAATTCAACAAGTGTCAGTATATCATTTAGATACGGTTTGAAAACAGCATAAAACTATGTACATGTGTAAAATAAAGATATAATTAATAAACTTGGAGGAAATTTTCCGAGAACATCTCAGAATTTTTGGATGAATAAAGTACATACGGAGAAAAGAAAGATAGGGTTCATCCAAGATCAGTCAGGCCTCAAGACAATTTACTGAGAAATCAATAAACTTAAGCCAAAATTTTGATTCTCAATATATCTTATTATTATCTTACTAAGTATTTATAATATTACAAACGTTTAAATATTTCCATTTCTATTTTTTTTTTCTCTGTTATAACTCTTTGTAAGTATGAGGAGGATATTTCTTGATAATTCTGCCGGAATGTAAATTAGGCAGGTCGATAGGTCAGGAGCAAAGGAGGCCTAATACGCTTGCAAATCTGGTGCGCATCTGTCTCTGTGTCTGACTCTTAGGAGGCCAAATATGCATGTAAATCTCGTGTAACTGCCTTTCTGTTTGACGGCAGTGGGCGAGGAATAATAAAATTGGGATGGAAGTCCTCGTGTTATTTAAATCTATTAGTCTACATTTTTAAAGTCTAAATCTACAATTTTTTTTCGCCCGTTATGCAAATTATCCCATGTTTCCCACTATCGTTGATGCTCTGGCATACTACACTAACTAGACAGTGATTCATTAAATAATTACATACTATCAAATGACGAAAAATTTCTCGAATGATCAAAACTATTTTAAGAGTTATCTTTATTTTAAATGTTTTAAGTATGTTCTTAGTCTTAAGGCGGATAACCTCTGTACACTTCTTTTCTCAGTGTACCTTTTATTTCGGAAGTTATTAATTTAAAAAATTTACAATTATTTTTCCTTACGAATACAGAAGACTGTGAATTATATTAATGAGTCATCTGAACCAAAATATAGCCATTGTGACGTCATAAAACTGTACTTGAATTTAAAAAATAGAATGAAATCTTAAATGATAGTTGAATTACATAATTTGTGGCCTATCATCAGATATATAATTTATATATACGATTAAATTCTACTTAACTTTAAATTCTTCAATTTGTGAATATTTGTGTGGTACATGAACAACTCTTCAAGTCTGCGTATTTATCATACCGAGATGGAATACTTCTTGACATAAGTCTGCAAGAAGCGTCATAGTTAATGCCTTCATACATAAATGAAAATTCAATTTCTTAACTATTTTAATCTTGAATACTTGATTTATAATTTGAAAAGGATTTGACACTTCATAAGAATAACATCCCATGAAGAATATTCTGTCTTAGTATATTTCTGCAATTTCCAGAACAAGTATATTAGTAATTTTAGGATGATCGATTTTTTCTTTTGTTTCACTTACATAAAAAACTAGAATGTGTGGAATAGTTGACATACTGATAATAAAAAAACATGAGAAATTTCCAATACAATTGCCTCAGACAGACATATATGCTGAGTTAGATATGATTTAACATATTTATATACCTTTGATGTGATCATGGTGATATCTATAATATATGATGCCAATCTTGAACAAGTCCAGACTGTCCTCTTGTGCACACCTTTGGTCTGTGTGTTGAACACACCTGTAGAATTATATTATTGAAGTTATATAATTAGGACTTTCCCAAAAAAATCAATTGGTCTCTCTCTTGCTTGAAGATATTTAAAAACTCCCCAAAAAACTAAATCTGCATGCACTCCAAACTTAAGTAGCTCTGAAGATTTATTTATACTGAGAAATTAAAACACCTTTAATGTATTGACAGTATTTAGCACGAGACAGCTGAATTATTTACTAAATCGATATATTTGAAAAAATAAAGAAACATCAGTTATAATTTCTCATTGTATTATGCATTTTTTTTACTCTGCCAAAAATATACTTGACATTACAGAGAAGTTTGGTTTATATCTTACCTCTTCAAGAGACAGAAGAAACCATTTTCCACAATGACCTCAAAATGTGTATGAAAATGACACTCATCCTCTTTCAACCCAAGGACTAGCTGGATACAAATGCTAATTTCATAAGCGTCGGAACTGGAGGGGGTGGTTAGTCATCCCCCTTTTTAAAAAATAATTTGCACTGAAAAAAGTTCGAACCACCTTGAGGTAGAATTGTCATGCGGCAATGCTCTAATTTGCGACTTATTAAACATTCATTAATTCTAAAATTCTCAAGAATTCACCAAATTTGTGAGCATTTTGATTTTTTTTGGCCAATGTCAAATTATTTCAAACAATTGTTTTTTTCTGAATAGAAGAAAGAAAATTGAGAAGTGGAGAAATTCATTTTTCAGCAATGGGTCTGTCTTGTGTTTACTCTGTCAACTTGTTTGTTTTTTAGTCAGCAAATGTGCGAATGAAATTTCGCTTTGCGTCAGTGCAAACAGAGCTCAGGTAGACCATATAAAGTGACAGAGGACAGGGTTTTTTCTAGGGGCAATCAAAATGTATGGCTGACTTTTTCCGTAAAATTTAGCTGATTGTAATATTTATATTGGAAAATCTGAAAAATTTCACTACATGAAACAATTATTATAGCTTTATCTTGCTACTTCAGGATTTTGGGGCTTTTTAGGAATAAAATATTTAAGTTTTACAAATTGAGTCAATATGATGACACAGGGACAGTCTCAAAATTTTATAAAAATTTAGACTATTTTCTATTGTCATCTTCCCATATTTCTTTAGTAATTCATGTATACCCTTAACATTTAAATGCCGTTTGAAGTTAGCATTTCGCAAAGTCTATGGTCGATCGATACAATGACATCCATTCTAAGTGAAAAACATCTTCTTTCTCCATATTATAACTATGAGACAATATCTTAAACGAGTGTGGTGATTCGGAAAGTCGGATCACGACGTCGCGTGATTGCATTAATTCAACAGTAAAATTGAGTAATACACAAATGTGTATATAATAAATGGAATTTATCATAAATAAGTTAGGAGTTTTGAGATTTTTACAGGTGAAATATATTCCATATTCAACTAAAAAATGCTAAATTTTCTGTTTATTTCGTTTTCTTCGATTTTCTCATTGCCACCATATTTTCTTAACACACCGTCATAGACTGTGACGACATGTAGTTGAGTGAAAAACATTCATAGCTTAGCGATTTTGAGATTGAAAAAATTATAATATTATAATCATGGATTCCCGCAAAATATTTGGAGAACCTTTGGCGGTTTTATTCTCTTATAGGATCGTTTATTACTCTCCGTATATTATGGGTCAGGGAGACTTTTTAACGACAACATGAGTGAACAAAAGGAAAACCGAGAGCTTTGCCTCGCCCCTGATTTTCCTTTTGTCATTGTGATAAGACATTACTTTGATATTTTGTTACATCATTCACATTACTCAGTGTGATTTCTGACAGCAAACCTTTATATGAAGTTGGGATCTTTCTCAACTTGGACAAGTACGGTAAATAGTAGATAAATGGAGATAACAAACAGTATTCAAACTCAAAAGTCCCTAAAACAATACAAAGTAGAAGCAGAGCAAACACGGACCTCTTTTATTTGCAACAATTTTTACAAGCAGCTTGTCAGGCTACGACTAATTTTTGTGACAGAAAAAATATACTACGTAAATACATCATAACATAAATAGCGCGAGTACTGAATACCAGGCAGTTTGGTCAACATTTTAGGAATTCGTTTTTAAGTGCATCGTTTAAACTTTCATCATAATACTAGAAATATACAGATCAGGAATGGTTTCATTGCAGATACTTGATTTTCTTCACTTGTGTGGTACTATATTGAACAACGAACGGATTGTCATTTGTATCTATACACAGTCCATGGGGATCACTCAGTCCACAGTCTATGTAACAGAGGAACTGTCCATCCTGGTCTATGATGTGGACACAGTCATTGTAATAATCAGCTGTGAGGATGTGACTCTGACTGTCTGTAGTGATTCCTACCGGATCGAACCATTGGTTCTTTGGAGCAGGAGTATGTCCAGTGTACCTGAATCTGAGTTTCCCGGCCTGATTGACCACCACTACTGCTCCAGCTCCCTCATCAGACACACAAATATCAAGGTTTTTATTCTCAGTTATGTACTTAGGAAATATACAAAAACCAAGAGAGTAAAGAGATTTCCCTTCATCATCAAACTGAATGGTTTGTTTCTCTGTTGAGCCAGAGTAACGGACAACTTTAGTTTGTTTGTCATCATCACTGCGCATGATAACCAGGAGGTCACCAGAGGAGGTAGTACAGATACTCTCAGATACCCAGTTCTGCTGTATTCTGATCAACTCTTCTTTCTCTTCATTCTTCATAATGTTCATAGTTCCATCACTTTGACAGTAATTAATGTAAATAAGATTTTTTGTCACTGCTATGTCTATTGGTGTGTTTTCTGGCTTGGTTGTGATTGACTTGAGTAGTGATCCCTGATTGATGCTGTAGAGTTTCATAGTGCTGTCACCTCCACTTGTCCAGATTTCTTCATCACTCAGGCAGGCCAAATATGAAAGTGCATATCCTGTGTCTATGAAGGTTACAGTCTCTGGTTCATCAAGCAGCTGTTTGACAGGAGGAGAGGATTCAGCTTCTGGTGATTTCTGTGTAGTCTTCAAGCTGTAGCTATCTTTATTAAAAGTTAAAGAACTTGATGATAGAGCCCCAAAATTTTTACTAACTTCTTCTCCTTGAATTTTTCCTGGCATGAATTTTGGTAAAGATGGCACGATTTTGTATGGAAGCTTTCTGTATATGTCTACATCAAACTCAAGACTGAACAATTTTGAAAAGTCATTAAATTTTACGATAACATTGACTCATTCAATGTCATTCTCCATGTTGGAAAATTTCTGCTTTATTTCATCCAGATGTTTTTGTAGAGTTGTAACAGTGAAGTTTTCATCTCATCAACTTCAACTTTAGTTTCTTGACAAGTTTGTCAATTTATCCGTGCCAGTCCTCTCCATGTTTTGTTATGGCTGCTGACAGATCTCTATATTCCTTTTCTA